GAAGTTGCACAATTCGTACCAGGACCCACACCCTGCACGCAAGCAGAGTATTGCGGCCAGCTATATGCAATGGCACGCGCGTTCAGCATGTCAAATACCCCTTCCAAGCAACTTTTTCCGTAACATCATCGTGGACTCAGCCTTCGAGTTTTTTAGCACGCCCATCAAGCATTTCGGATGATACTTGCAGGACTGCTCAAGGTTGAATTTCTCATTTTCAATACGTTGTAAGTTTGAGTGGCTTACTTACAGTACACTGTTTCCAGAAATTGGAGGAACGAAACAGTTCCAATAAATGCTTGTATTGGGTGGGTGAAACAGAAGGCAAGTTGACAAGTGACCTGCAATATCAATGAGAGGTACCAGAACCGTCAGATGGTCCCCCACACATCTAATCGAGGGACACCATTTATATGCAACTGATAATGGGACAGTTTGTTCCATACCAGTTTACTCTACCTTCGTAGTCTGTTGGAAATCTGAAATGGTTTGAGAGCAAGAGAAGTCATTAGATTCCAATAGCATGCTGCAAAATACTTTCGCGGCCGCCGTCCGTTCACCGGAATGCCGAGGCTGTACAATCCTCACTAATTTGTGAATGATGTTGTTGTGTTATATGTTATATTTTTTAAGAACCGTTGCCTGCCTCTCAAACAGTTTCGTTTTTTATTCCTTCATTTCCTTGCCATCTATGTGCATTACTTATGTAGGATTCTTTGCACTTTAGCATACTGTCCATAGAGATCCCTTGGAACAAAGACTGAGAGCTTGGCGCCTGGCATACACCCCATTCCCGAGTTTCGCTCAAAACCGTGGATTTGAATGAATGTGTAAATCCAGCCGAGATGAGGCCATTATGCATTGTAAAGCTCTCTCTCTGTCTCATCCTTTTCTTCTCAGCCTTTAGGTTTGTTCTCCCTTTCGCTTTTATTCCGACAGTGTGTCGTTTCGTGAGGGTGGTACTTCATTAGTCACGAGTTTGTAAATCAATTTATGGTAATGTGACTTCCCATCATACTTCACGGAGCAAGTTGCTTACACAAAACTCAACTCTTTGATTACCTGCTGTGGAAGATGGAAAAAACATTGATTAAAGCGGTTAATTTGAGTAGAGGCGAAACGAACATCCTTACAATTCGTATTTTGTTATGGTAATGAATTTCATCACCTCCTCACTAGCAATAGCTTTAGAATGCAAATAATTCCTTGCCCTATGCCATCCTTAGACATAGTTTTTGAGAAGACGTTAAAATCTGTGTTCAGGGCACAATTACAATCATATGAGCCGCTATGGACCTAATGTACCAAAATGGGGTACGGATCATCAGCAGCTACCACGACGAATTTTAGCGGAGGAACAATCCACAACCTGCTCCTGTGGTCGGCCCTAATGGTCATAAAGGCGCTTCATGGAGTGTACCCATCACAAGCAGTCTTCTGCACCACATGCACATTTGATAATCTTCCGATCATTTTTGAGGGGAGAAGGATAGGGGACAATGGCGCTCTATCACACACGATCACGGGTTCGAATCCCGGATTGATATCCGCCCAGGCCAAGCTAGCCATCCATCCCTCTGGGGTCGGTTAATTGGAACCAGACTCGTTTTAAAAGCTATGACTCGTGCATCGGCTGGCCACCACAATCATTGTACAAGCCACATACACATTCGGCATGCCACTACAATTCTGAATGGAAGTCGAGCGGGGGGAAGGGGAGCATCCCTCAGATGGAATTGATCAACGCCAAGAAGTAATTAAGGATTTTATTCATGTTCAGAGTTTCAAAGTTGAGCTGCACATATGATGATTTCGAACGGTTCTTTCGGGTGTACCTATCAATTATAATATTATCGTATACTATTTCTATTATCAGCACATTGGTACTCCTCTTAAGCGTCAAGAGCATACAAGAAATCGTTTGAATCAATGGGTACTCATTTTTGACAATCCACGGCAGCAATAAAGGTCGATATATGGCTATAAAGAATCTCAGTAATTGAAAGTTTCGGTTGGCACGATAGGAATTATCCTCTTCTGTGGGATCTGTGCAACTTCCTTGGGGGCCTCGACAGACAGGTGCCCCTTTGCGCTGAGCCTTGAATGAATTGCATCCAGACTGACATCGCTGGGAATCGTCCATTTTCGAACGAAGGATCTAAGAGAAAACGATTAGTTAAAAGAGTAATCAGTAGATTCAACTACAACAATCGCAGAACTTACTTTTCCATGGAACTGGCCCCGTCTCGACGAGAGTGCTTTCCTTCAACAATGAGTTCTCTTCCATCAAGGTGAACGTTCAGCTCTTCTGGTCGGAAATGTGACACGTCTAGTGTGATGGCAAACTTCTTGTCGTCATTGATAGCCTGAAGGAGTTAGCTGTGAGAGTCGGTACGAAGCGTAAAGGAACATATGCTTGACCTACAGGATGAACTTCCTCTCCCACATGCATTACAGAGTGATCAGCTTCTCTCCAGTATGGTTTTATGCCGCTTTTAAATCGATTAAAATCTCGCATCATATCATCCCACGTTGGATCTCTTGGAAAAGGCCATCTGTCCATGATAATCGTCGCTTAGCGATTTCTTGCTGAAACAATGGTCATGCCACTCTTTTCACTAAATTCAGCACACTCCTTAATAAGGCAGTCAACGGAGCTGAAAATCTGTTGATTTGAATTCATAAAAGTCG